TTCTCTCAATCAAATAAGTAATTATACAACTCCACGAAAATCCAGTCAATTTCTTCTCCTCGAAAAAATTCTCGCAGATTTGGAAGTTGGTTCTTCCAATATCCGGTCAGTAGGTAAAAGTAAATTTCGTCGAGAATGGTAGATGTTCCAACCGACAATCCAGTTCGAGAGATTTCCGCGCAGAGTTTTTACTCTTATCAACTACTTATGGTCGTTTTCAGCCATCGTTATATACACTCTCGCACACGAATATAATCACTCACACAATGTTCTTTTGACGACGAGCGATACTTTCAAACACTCACAGCGCGATAACAACTGACAAGAGCGAGTGTGATATTGTCACACAAAAATTTATTCGAAAAATTTTTTTTAAATAATTTTTGTTGAAAAAAAAATTTTTAATAATTTTTTTTTATACTATGCCGGCTAGGTGCTACCGCACCTCTTGATAAATATAATAAAAAAATAATTAAAGTATTTCTGCGTAATATAACGATTTACTGTAGCATAGATATTCGGCAGAAAATCAGATGGCCATGATCAAACAGATTCAATTAGACTGCAATTAAGCTCTGATTTAAAAAAAATAAAATGTAGCCATTAGAGATGTACATACACGTTGGCAGTCCTGTAAACTCAGTCCGATAGCAAAGAAACACTTGTCCGGGCCATAAACTTAGTCTAAAGATTAGAAGTACGATTTCACTACGGTGTAATAAAAACCAACTTGAGTAAATACTTCAACTGAGACATTTAAGGTGGGGGCCATGTGGCCAGTTGAACAAATAAGTTTTTTATCGCGATTAAAATTTCAAGTGGCCAACTGATGCTAACAATAGAAAAGGTACCTACAAGTAAATGATCCAATCGCATACATTTTTAAAACACATCACTTCATCACCAACTCATCACAATTCATACGTTTTAGGTCAAAAGTCAAGTGTCCTCCGATTTCTTGGTCAGTTTTCTATTTTCCTCATTATTTAAATAACGGTTTAAAAATTATAATAACAACGTGAAACCAATAAATCGGTAGCTTAATTGTAATCAATCTAATTAAGAACGATTTAGATATCGCCGATCGACACACTGATCATGTTTATAGAAAAATCAAATTAGTTTGAATGTTGTCTTTCCTGAATAAACAAATCATAACACTAAAAGATAAATTTTACTCATTCGATTTCCATCGCACTAAATAGAAAGATCCGATGTTTAATTTAAATGCCAAAATGGATAAAAGTGAGAACAAAATCGAAGAAGTTTTTTCTCAACGTAATTCAAGTGAAACCGATATTGTTGTTTCTCAAGACAAAGAAGTCATTTCTGAAATTTGCCACGAGGTATTTACACAAGAATCAAGTATGATAACACACCGAGACACAATTCACGATAAACAAAAAAGTTTCGCTTGTGACAAGTGCGAGAAGACATTTGAGTTCCGAAGTCATTTGAGTAGGCACCAAATATCACAACACAAAAGCCGAAAAGATTATGAATGCGATCAGTGCGAGAAGACATTTGTGAAAAAATCAAGTTTGCTTACGCATCAAAAATTAGTACACAAAAATCGCGAAGATTTGACTTGTAACAAGTGCGAGAGAAAATTTGAAAATAAATCGACTTTAATTAAGCACAAAAAAATATTCCATGAAGTATTCAAAGATTACTTGTGTGAAAAGTGCGCCAAGAGATTTGCAAGCAAGCAGAGGTTACTCACGCACGTAAAGAGAGTCCATGACGGTCGCAAAGATTTTGTATGCCACAAGTGCGACGAGATATTTATTGAAAAATTGCATTTTCTCTCACATCAAAAGACATTTCACGGGGGTCGAAAAGATTTTGCATGCGATAAATGCGAGAAACAATTTCGACACAAATCGTCTTTTCTCTTTCACCAAAAAACACTTCATGAAGATCGAAAAGGTTTTTCTCGGGATACGGGTCCAGAAAAATTAGTATTAAAATCGAATTTGTTCAAACATCAAAAGGTAGTACAGAACGGTCAGAAAGATTTGTTATGCAACTATTGTGAAAAAGAATTTGAAAATAAATCAAGACTAATCAGACACCGATTGACAGTCCACGAAGGTATTAAAAATTTTACATGTGACAGATGCGAGAAGAAATTTACAGAAAAACAAAGTTTGCTCGTACACATAAATACCATCCACGAAGGTCGCAAAGATTGGACATGTGACAGGTGCGAAAAGAAATTTGGGATTCGAAGCAATTTAAGAAAACATCAAAAATTAGTTCACGAAGGTCAGAAAGATTATGTATGCGAGAAATGCGAGAAGACATTTGGACAAAAATCAGACTTGTTCAAGCACCAAAGAGCCGTACACGAAGGCCGGAAAGATTTTGCATGCGACAAATGCGAAAAGAAATTTGGACACAAATGGATTTTGTTTTTGCACCAAAAGACAGTCCACGAAGGTCGCAGAGATTACGCATATGACATGTGCGAGAAGAAATTTGCACAAAAATCGAATTTGTTAGACCATCAAAAGACAATCCACGAAGGTCGGAAAGATTACACATGCAACAAGTGCGAGATGAGATATGGGAAAAGTCGCAGTTTAAGAAAACATCAAAAAATAGTCCACGAATGTCGCAAGGATTACGCATGCGACAAATGCGAAAAGAAATTTGGGGTTCTAAGCCATTTGCACCACCATCAAAGGACGTTCCACGAAGGTCGCAGAGACTTTGCATGCGACAAGTGCGAGAAGAAATTTGGACTAAAATGTAATTTGCTCGTTCACCAAAACACAGTCCATGAAGGTCGAAGAGATTACGCATGCGACGTGTGCGAGAAGAAGTTTGGACAAAAAGTGGGTTTGATTGCGCACCAACTACGAGTGCACGAAGGTTGTAAAAATTATGCATGCGACAAAGGGGACTAATAATTCGAACTTGTTTGCTCCATCGCCGAAAAACAATAAATGATGCTTAAGAGACATGAAACGCCTTTTTCTCATATTCGTAAATAAGCGAAATTACATCTAATCTTACGTCTGAGTAAACACAAAATTTTACGAATAATGTGTATATACAAATATCTCGAACATAACGCAGTCGCGAGCTTATATTAAAATAACTTCTAAGAGACTAGTGCGCAGTTCATCAGAGATATAATGACAAATGCTGATTTTTTTTCTTGACAATTGTAAATATATAAAAACTTAATTATGTAGATATTCAAATAAAAGTTTTTCTAAAATTTCAATAAAAATTTTAGCAATAATGATTTTGTTGTATTTCATTTGTATTTAAATCAACTATCAATACAATTTCTTCATCGTTGTAATAGTGTTTTACTTTTGAACCACTGCTAATTAATACTCACCGGTCATATTTTGACTACTTGATTGCCGCAAGCTTGTCATGCAAAGATTAGCTGAGAGTTTTTTTATAATTCGAAATGAGGCAAGCGTTTGATTGGTAAATGGATTTTTGATAAACGTAAATTTGCATTGATCAATCACGCACTATAGTAAACGATATTGATAAATTGACTTTTATGTTTTTTTTCTTAACGATAGATTTCATTGTTCATCAAGATCAAAAGCAAAGAAACTCGTTCTGTTGTGATAGCAGAAACGAGTTCATCTTCGGACAAGGGAAATTTCTCCCTGTGACGGGAAGAATCACTACTCGCCGATGAGTACTCGTGCATGCGGCTTATTAATGAGTATCAACTTGCACTTGCAAAAACGTATTTTTCAGAAGACGAATTCAAACGGATTGTCTAACGACCGATTAGGAGTTTCAAAGTTATGAGAAAGCAATGGACCGCGCATAACTACTTATGGTTTTATCTACGTTCCTGCAAGTACTAACGTCAAAGCAGTGGTCTCGTAGAAGTCGACGCGTTGACAGTGTCGGATTAGAAAAAGTGCCGACCACAAACTTCCATGTGCTGTTTACACGATTTGAATACAATTGTGAGAGCTTTTACTAATTATGAAAAAAATTAGTAAACATTTCTTGGTTCAAATTAAACTGTCCTAAGTGGTATTTTCAGAAAGAATACATTGCTCTTATAGTTCAACCCGCGCGTAAGCAAGCTTATGTCTCGTTATTGATTTCGGTCTGTATACAAGATGCCCAGAATCGATGAATCTTTGCGGCAATTGTGTATTTATAAACACTTTGGAAAAAAAATAAATACGAGACATCTACTTGTATACATGCTGCATACGGCTCGTAGTTGTGTGCGCCGAAGATTATGCCATTCTTTATACCGTATTATAGTGCATGGATCACAGACGCACGAAATATTACACACAGCACTTATGGCTAGGGTAATAGGCGCTAGTCGACGACGAGTCTCTTACTTTTTTCTTATCTGTGGGAAAATGCGACGATAGGTATGTTATGTGTAGAGCACGCGCGACGAGATTGGAACACATATTTTCGACGAAGAAGCGCGTGCGAGGGGGAGAGCTCTTGTAATTCTTTTGGATTCACGCGAGGCGTGTCGTGAAAAATTGTGCGACAAATCGTAAAGTCAGCGATGTCGTAACGACGATTATGAATAATTAATTTGACTTTTTATGCAAGATTCACCTTCTGCGAAAATCTTCATTTTATAATTTGTATGTTTAACCTAACCGTACAGATCGATAAAAATTATAGATATAGATTGATTCAAATGAAACATCATGTTTTTTTTGCAATAAAAACCCCAGCGGAAAGTTTTTGTTTAAATAAAGTGCATAATAATGTTGTGAACTGTAATAAAAAGTAAAAAAGTGTAAAAAATGTAAGATTACTAACGATTTCGGACATGTGATACATTTTTCTACCCTTTTTTACTTTTTATTACAGTTTATTACATTTGTTTACCTATAATGAAAGAGATGAAAACCCTATGAATTTAAGCTCATTAAAGTTACATGGAAAAAGTAAAAAAGTGTAAAAAAACATAAAAATTCTGTAATAATAATTTTAAATGTTAAAATTTTTACTTGTGAGCTTAAAATCCTGGTCAAGCGCGTATTTTTTTCACGAAAATCACTTGCTGCGGTCGATGCGATCACACGCGGATAGCATATTGAAGAAAATGTAAAAAAGTGTAAAAAAATGTGATTTTATGCTGCCTTATTTAATGCATTGGCTGTCCGAAATCGCTAGTAATTTTACATTGTTTTAAAATTTTATTACATTTTACAATTTAATATGATGGTTATAGTTACTGCTTTTACTTTTTCTTGAAAGATTTATTTTCCGTCGGGGAAGTTTATTAATTTATTTAAATTTGATCGTTTCTTAAGCAGTCAGATGAAAAACATAGAAGTGATCCAAAATATAATAGTAATTGTTTTTTACAAAATTTCAAAGTACATTTTATACATTTATTGGGTGGTAATGCGTGAGTGATGCGCTATGTCGATGACAGTTTTACAGCTACTCATTTGTCTCGATGTTTTATCATCTTGCGTGGTACTGATAGACGTTCTATGATCTTTTGCTGTGATCTCGTGATTGGGTATTGCCCTTATGCTCACTTTTGATGTGTCTGTATAGATATTTCCTATGTTTAAATTTTTCTCCGCAGATAACGCATGCAATGTCTTCATGCTGCGTTTTAATGTGAGTTTTAAGACGGTCCTTTCGAGTAAATGTCTTGCCGCACGTATGACATGCGTAAGTTATCTTATTATGCACTGCATCCATGTGGAGTTTGAGACCTCTCTTGAATGCGAATTTCTTTCCGCACACTTCGCAAGTAGGTGCCTTACCATTATGCATCGCATCAATGTGACTTTTGAGATAAAACTTTTTTGTAAATGCCTTTTCACACATACTACATGCATGTCTAACACCATTATGTCCATCGATGTGAAGCTTAAGTGAACTCTCGGTTAGGAATTTCTTTCCGCACACTTCGCAAGTAGGTGCCATACCTTTATGCGTCGCATTGATGTGTTTCTTGAGAGTATCTTTCATCGTAAATATTTTGCCACATGTATCACATGCGTGAGTTATCTTATTATGCACTGCATCCATGTGGAGTTTGAGACCACTCTTGAATGCGAATTTCTTTCCGCACACTTCGCAAGTAGGTGCCTTACCATTATGCATCGCATCGATGTGCATTTTGAGATTTCCTCTTTGTGTGAATGTCTTTTCACATATACCACAATCATGTTTAACACCATTATGCATTGCATCGATGTGTCTTTTGAGATCTCCTTTTTGGGTGAATGTTTTTCGACATGTAACGCACGCATGCTTGACACCATTATGAACTGCGTCGTTGTGGATCTTGAGACTATCTTTTCGTGCAAATTTCGTACCGCATATATTACATGGATGTTTGGCACGATTGTGTAATTTATCAGTTTGGGTTTCGCGTAGACTTTTTTGAGCAAATGTTTTTTCATTTGCATCAAAAACATCACTGAGTTCACCATCCGAATTCAATTCTTCTTTTGTTTCGTCCTCAATTTCTTTTTTAATTTTCTTTTGGGTTTGATTGTCGTAACTATTTTCCATATGCTGCAAATGATCTGGATAATCGTCCTCTATCTTCTTGACTACTAATAAGTTAATGCCGAGCTTCTCGTCCTTACATTCGAATTCTACTTCGACATCGTCAGAACCAAGAGTCTAGAAAAATAATTTGAATTCAAGATTAGGCAAAAATATTGTTGAAAATGTCAGCTATAAGCAGTGCTATATGAAAACTTACAAAATTTTCTCGACATCGCAAGGATCCTTCAGTGTTCGCATCGTGTGCATTGTCAATTATCTGATAATCATAATTTTCAATTGGGGAAACATCATTTGGCTCCTCCTTCACTCTGCAATATTCCCAATAATATAAAGTATTATGCCATTTTTTTTTAAATTTCATTCTCCAGTAAATAAAAATTACCTAATATCACAGTTATATACACCACTGAAGTCCATGTTTATTGCTCGGAACTTGATCAACGACTAACTTTTCTGTAATGTGTACACATCGAACTAGGTAACTTGATCGTACTAATATTTACAAATCGTGAAATGAAAGTTTGAGAAAATTTATGTTAACAGAGACACTCTAAACTTACTATTTATTATTGGAGAAATTATACAATAGATCTCCGGCGTAATAAACAATTAGCAATTTTCTCTGAATTTTATTACAAAGAAATTATGAATTGAAAAATATGTTTTCATCACAGCGTGCGGTAAAATCTTAAAATCGACTTCCTGCACTCGATGATGAAAAATAATATACATAACTGAGGTGGTTGTCAATCTTATACTTGTGTCAATGCACTCGTGCCTTAGTTACGTAATGTTAGGCGCGTGTAGATAAGTAAAGCGGCATATTTGTTGTAGCCATCTCGATTTTTTATTTCTCATATATCTATACGTTTTTAATTCGTTTAAATGATTTCAAATTCGATATCTTTGTGGTATAGTAAGCGATGTACGACATGAAAGCTGTCAAACTACAAAGTTTTTCTGCTTTTAAAGCCCATTCAGTAATATTGAAACTTACAAGGAGAGCCTTTCATCTGCGGATCACAGATCCTTACCAAACTTGTTTGGGGGTCTTCTTGTACATAATAATGAAGCCCCCTATGGTTACTTCATTCCAATGGGCCCTGGAAACCATTATAAAGCACCATAAAGTATATATAATATAATTTAATGTTTAAAACACCACTGATTGGTATCAGGCCTTGTACGGTCAAGTCTAACTGTCTCAAAAATATTTGTACATGAACTTTTATTGATTCTAAATACTTTTGCAAATAATAAACAATTGAACTCAATTGGTTTGCTGTGTATGTTTTAAAGAGCGCACCAATTTGAGCTAAAATTAACGTACCAAACAATAAATATTGATGTAAATAATATGAAAATGTTTTTTATTTGTATAACTCACATATCCCTTCTCTTCACCTATTCCTGACACTCATCTGGAGTGAATTTACATATGTTTTGAGTGACAGAAATAGGTGATAAAAAAAGAACAGTAAGTTTTATAAATGAAAACATTTTTACATGATTTAATATAAATATTAGTTGATAAATGCATAAATTTTAGCTTGAATTGATTCGCTCTTTGAGAATTTCAGTGAACCAATTGAGTTAAATTGTTTATTGATTGAAAAGGTGTTTTGGACTTTAAAAACTCAAAGTATAAATACTTTTCAATCAATTAGACTTGACTGTGTAAACCTGATATTATTATACGTTAATATATGGTATTTTATACATTATATTATATTATATACTTTATGGTGCTTTATAGTGGTTTCCAGGGCTCATTGGAATAAAGTAACCATAGGGGGCTTCATTATTATGTACAAGAAGATCCCTAAACAAGTTTGGTAAGGATCTGTGACCCGCAGATGAAAGGCTCTCCTTGTTAGTTTTCTCTTAGTTTTTTCATTTTCTGCACGCACGATCGTATCTTTTCAAATGGTCAGTAAGCGCGAGAGTGGATCGCATGAAGTTTTTCTTTTACCTGATGTCGCTAGGTGCTCTATGTAGTTGTCGACCGATTTTTAGACTTTCATAACGTGGTGAGAAAGTTTGATAGCATCGTTCAATAAGATTATAATTTATCAGCTGTGCTTTGAGGGTAAAATCTATATTAACACGACGATTTCTTACGTAATTTTGTTTGTAGAATCGAATGCCTCAGTCAGTATTGAAGTAGGAATGTGATTTTACACGAAAAAATTTAATTTTTCGGTCATTGTTTTCTTAAATTTCGGAAAGTCCATTTATAAGTGCCCCGCATATGTCTAGAAAAAATCTGAAAAATCTGAAAAAATCTTTTTATAGCACTGCGTGGCATAAGTTCACATTTATGGCACGCTTTTCGGTGGCATAAGTCGTACATTCTGGCACCGCTGACCTAATCTCACTTCGCGTTACCAGAAAGTGCGACTTATGCATCGGAAAAGGGGGCATAAATACGATACTCGTGACCACCGCAATCGATCTTTTTTTTTTCAATTGTTCAATTTGCTGTAGTTAGCTTATTTTCCCCTATTTTTAGCTGAAAATTTAACTGAATGTTCTTCAAATAATTATTGATAAGGTATATAATTTATAGGTAAATTCATTTTACTATGCGCTCAAAAAAAATTATTAAATTCCAGCTCGAAAACCATCGAACAAGACCCCCTCCTTGAACTGAGTATTTTTTCACTATATTAAATTTATAATATCTTTCTCAACAAAATATATTTTGCGAATATATTATCATAACATTTGAACCGACAATATATTTAATTCTCTCAATCAAATAAGTAATTATAATGAAAAATAAATTTTTAATAATATATCTATTAAATTAAAGTTACTTAATTTCAATAAAATATTTATTTGTTCGAAATAAATATTTATGAACCACCCCATGATTGTTTCGATTCAATAGACCTTGAGGCTCATTATTGAAGTAATCGTTGGATTTTTTCGTTCAAGAAACTTTTGTTAGTTAGAAAGTCGCAAATCGTTTCTAATTTAATCGTTCCGCATCTCTCGTCGTCTTTCTCTGCATACTAATATTAACAACCCCGTTTCGAAAATCAATCGTACACGAGTAAAACAAGCTTGCACGACATATTCGTACTATCGACGCATCGCGAAAAAATCGTTCATGTTTTGTTTGTAGTACATCGCTACTCGACCAAACGAAGCATCGCGCGGAGGTCAGACAGAAATCATGGCCGAGCGACTCGGTAATTGTTTGAAAAGTAATTTTTTTCACCCCTACGGTATACGATGAAATTTTGGATCTTCATCTTTCACATTCAAATCATGGAAACTCTCAAGTTACCGAGCGCGAGTAAGAAATTATTTCGAAACGAGTTGAAAAGCGGATTGTCCACGAGAATGGTATGTAAATGCATTCACTCTATCGACAAACTTCATTATCTCAATCGCTCGACTCGATCTTTCAGAGATTCATCCTCTCCAGCTGCTTTCGCGATCGCGCGGCAGCGCACGAGTCGCAAAAGTACGTCATGATGTTCGGCGACGACTGGACGAGCCGCGAAGCCGCCCTCTTCAGCCGCAGCCACTCGTCCCTGTTCGTCTTCAACAAGACCGGAAGCCGAGATATATTTCGCTCGGCCGCCCATCGTCGCGTCGTCAACGTCGTCAAGATCGATCGCGCGGTGCTCGAGCGCAAAGTCACACCCGCCGGGCTCGTCGTCGTCGAGGAGCAGTCCGAGTTCAATTTCTTGTCGTTCCTCGAGGCTCTGCGCGGCTCCGTGTTCTGGACGACGCAGGCCGCGTTTCTGGTCGTGTCCAGGCGGCCCGAGGCACGCTGCTCCTCGGCCTCTTCGATGCTCAGCCTCGCCTGGAGCTTCGACATCGCCAATATCGTGTACGTGTGCACGAGAAGCGACGAGCGCTACGTGCTGTACAGTTTCAATCCGTTCGTCGCGGTGGCTACGTCGTTCTGGCGACGAGTAGTCGACGATGGAGACGCGATCGTCGAACCGTCGTGGACGTTGTTTTCTCGCGACGTCACCGACCTGTCGGAAACCGACGAGTCGTGCTACTTCGACAGATTGGCCAATATGTCGAGCTACAAGATGTCGCTGGGCACCGAGGTGGCCAATCGCAATTACTGCCTGTCGGTGCCGGTGACCGAGCTCCGAGACCTCACCCAGAGACCCGCCCAGCTGATCGACAAGTTCGTCCGACAGATCGGGGCGAGCTACGATCTCAAGTTTTACACGGGTCTGCCGCCTCTGGACGCGCGAGGCCGACCCCAGGGCATCCTCGAGGACCTGATCGCTCGCAAGATCGACCTGTGCACACGGGCCATCGTCGTGGACGATCGCTGGAAGATGCAGACGGGCTTCTCCTCGGAGACTTATCTCTGGGCCATCTCGCGCAAGCACAAGATCGGCAATCTCCAGAAATTCGTCTCGGCCCTCGATCCCAACATACTCGTCGACGTGGTCGTGTCCTGCGCCCTGTTCCTTCTCGTTTCGAGGCTGCTGCTGCGACTGTCCTGGAGCTCGGCCACGGTCGAGTTCGTGCGCGTCTTCACCTCGTCCATGGACAGGCACGCCTTCGCCCGGGCCCGATACGGCTCCGAGCGCATCCTGCTGTGCACCGCCATCCTGCTGATCGCCTACTCGAGCGCCTACTTCGTCGGGCTGTTCAGCGCCGTGAACACGATCGACGGTTTTTTCTCGCCCGTCGACGCCCTCGAGGACTTCATCGAGAACGCCAAGCTGGTGGTGCGCACGCACACCACCGTGATGCCGCAGATCCAGCAGATAACGCCCCGTAAGATCGTGCCGATCAACGACGTGCCGCCCTGTCTGCGGGAGATCATTTTAGGGCGCGACGACCTCATCTGCATCTGCGGCGAGATACTGCTCAAGGCCCACGGCATACGCGACACCGAGACGATACACGTGTCCAGGCCGCTCTTCAATATGCGCACTGTGGTGTTCGCCGTGAGGCCCGACTGGTTTCTGCTGCCGAAACTGAATAACTTTCTGCTGAGGATCTACGAGACGGGTTTCGTGAAGAAGCAGTACGAGGCGAATTACACGATCGATTGGGGCGCCGAGCGCGATGGGGCGACCGCGAGGAAACGAGACTTTGGATTGAAGATCCGGGAGATGCATCTGGTGTTCACGGTCGTGCTCGCGGGTTACGCCCTGGCGATCGTGGTGTTCGGTCTGGAGCTGCTCAACGAGAGGACCGCAATGATAAGATCAACGAATGACGTTGTAAAAATAACGATTGTACATTGACTCGAACTCTAATCGATTTTTTTTAATAAAAGTGCCTTTGGATATACATACGTAGTTCTTTTTTTTTCTGTTCTACAACGCGTTATATGATTTATTCATATATTCGCTTCAAATTAAAAATCCTCAGATAGTGTTTGCGACATTAGCACTATAAAATCGATTTTTTAAATCTCACTTTTTTATTTACGGATAATACAAAGAAATTGTCGATAGAAAAGTGTTTACTACCTATTCATTCGACACGAGATACATAATGTTATTTCTTATAGTACGGAAAAACGACACGTGTCGCGAGCAACACATCGCGTGTAGAGATCATTCCATGCACGACGCAAACATCGCAGAACGAGTATCATCGACTCTCAGTGCTCTTCGACGCAGTTAGCTCGAAAATCGTTGTAAAATTGTAATTGATATCGAAATTTCAATGGGTTTAAGATGGAATACTGTGGTTTGTTCGATTGTGCAGACAGGTAATTTTCACTTTACGCTAGAAAAAAAATTATATGGTTAGATTAAACGAAATGGGACAGCTGTGTATCGACGAAAAAATTTGTCTGCTACAGCAAAACAATTCAGCAATATCTAGTCCGATAATTTTTCTGTGACAACCAAATATCTTTTGCTGGATCTATTCCCAAAAGATTTTTTCAATGTACGAGAATGAAATAGTAAAAGTATTGTAATAAAATACTTGATCTAATTGGGGTTATTTATTTTAGAGTTAAAGAGGAGCCTAAGGACGTGCTGCCTAATGAGAATGATTGGGATACGATTGACGAAAAACCAGATCTTAAAAACTTCCAACTCTTACCATCTTTGCAAGAAAATACCGTAAGTGCTATTAATTATTTTGAAGTAAGTTGTGTTGCAATTACGTCTAACTCATATTTAATTTTTCGGCAGATCCTTACTCTTCGAAAGTATGCCGAGAATCATGAACGTAAACTCGATGACGAAGTGGAAATAATCGTAGAATGTGAAGATGTCAAGCTTAACATGGATTTATTCAAAGTCGAAAAATTTGACATCGATTTTCAAAATCTCTTGCAGGGTAGAAAGAATAATGATGGTTGTAAAACCCAAAACGTAGTTAAAATGGAACCCACGGAGGAAGTACAACAGGCATCTTTTGTGAACACCGCAGAAGAATCGAATTTGAATTTGGTCTGTAAACGTGGCGAACAAAATAAAACAAGAAAAATAACAAAAGAGTTGAACAACGAACGTAACCACAAAAGACACCAAGGTACGATGCATAATGCTAGAACTTACATATGTGAAACATGCGGCAAAAATTTCGCATCTCAGGGCAATCTGAACAAGCATGTCATATCAGTACATAATTATACTACCCACTCATGTGATACATGTGGCAAGAAATTTGCGCAAAAAGGTAATCTTAAAATCCACATCGATTCAGTGCACAATGGTGTCAGACATGTATGTGACATTTGCGGAAATGTGTTCAAACGAAAACAGCTTCTCAAAATCCACATCGAGTCGGTGCATCAAAAAATCAGGCATCCATGTAATATATGCCAAAATACATTCTCAAAAAGGAGTAGTCTCAGAAAGCACATCGTTTCCGTGCACAACAAAATCACGCATGCATGTGATATATGCCAAAATACATTCTCAGGCAAGAACAGTCTTAAAAAACATATTGATTCGATGCATAGTGGTATCACACATGCATGCGACATTTGCGGAAATGTGTTAAAACGAAAAGATGATCTCAAAAAACACATCGATTCGGTTCACAATCGAGTGCGGCATGTATGTGACATTTGTGGAAAGACATTCACACAAAAAAGTAATCTCAATACTCACATCGAGTCGGTGCATAAGAAAATTACGCATCCATGTGATGCATGCCAAAAGATATTCTCAAAAAAGAGTAATCTCAAAACTCACATCGATTCTGTGCATAATAAAATCACGAACACATGCGATATATGCCAAAAGACATTCTCAGATAAGAGTTATCTAAAAAAACACATCGATTCAATGCATAATGGTGGCGGACATGCATGCGATATTTGCGGAAACATATTCACACAAAGACAACAACTCAAAACCCATATGGATTCCGTGCATCATAAAATCAAGCATCCATGTAATATATGCAAAAAGACATTCGCAGAAAAGGGTTATCTCAAAAAACACATTAATGCGATACATAATGGTTATTCACATGCATGTGATACATGTGGCAAGACATTTGCGCAAAAAGGTAATCTTAAAATCCACATCGATTCAGTGCACAATGGTGTCAAACATGTATGTGATATATGCCAAAAGATATTCGCAACGAAAGGTAATTATAAAACCCACATCGAATCGGTGCACAACAAAATCACGCATGCATGTGATATATGCCAAAATATATTCTCAAGCAAAAGCAGTCTTAAAAAACACATCGATTCGATGCATAGTGGTGTCAGACATGCATGCGATTTTTGCCAAAAGAAATTCTCAGACAAGAGTAATCTCAAAAGACACATTAATGCAATGCATAACGGTGATTCACATGCATGTGATATTTGTGGAAAGGCATTCACTCTAAAAGGTAATCTTAAAACCCACATCGATTCGGTGCACAATAGAGTCGGACATGCATGCGATATATGCCAGAAGACATTAACAAAAAAAGGTAATCTCAAAATTCACATCGATTCAGTTCATAGAAAAATTGCCCATGCGTGCGATACATGCGGCAAGACATTCGCCTCGAAGCAAACTCGCAAAAAGGATTCGGTACATGCCTCGTGTATTGAAATTCGATAAATATATAAAATTTAAAGAAGTTTACGAAGATTAATTTAAAAATTTTCGTTTGTAATGATACATCATGAATTTCTCAACGTTATAACATTATGTAAGAACAATAAAATAAATAAACTTTTAGAGGAAAATGAAGTACATTTTTAATTGCAAGCTAATAAAATATTCAAACTCCCTGAGTCGATGGCAATTTTTTCATCTTATTTGGATTTTGAGATAAAATTGAGGGGACACACCAGTTTTAAAACCTGAAATGATTAATAGGTGTAAAATAATGCATCAATCAATGTTTTTTTGCTTTATTTTGAATGCAAAAAACCACTATGGTCCCCTGACATCTCAATTTAACTATGAAGACCACTAAAACAAGTCTTAAACTTGGATACATAGTAACAGCAGGATTCTGAAGTGAGTTTTTAACCAATTTTTATGGCTGACCGCTTAAAGTCTTGGTAAAAGTATTCTCCTCCACATAAGAGTAACAGAATTTTGGAAAATGTCATTAGAACATTTGTATGGTGATGAATGTACAATAGTATGACATAATACAAGTACAAAATTTCATAAGATTAAATTTGAAAATTAGATCGAGCTACATAGGGCGACAAATCAAATCGTATAGCATAGAAACTGCGCAGACACTTGATTACGGTGAATCCCCCAGCCTAAAGTAACATTTTGGTTTTGCTCAGCGAGAGTAAAATGTTACTTTAGGTTGGGGTAGCACAAAAAAATCTTTGCGACCTTCGTGTATTATCTTTTGGTGCCTAATCAAATCGAATTTTCTTCTGAATTTTTTCTCACAATTGTTACATGAGTGATATGTGCGACCCTCATGGAGTGTTGTCGTGTGCAAAAGCAAACTCGATTTATTATTAAATTTCTTCCTGCAATCGTCATCTTTGAAGACTCTTAAGGCGAAATCTTTTTGAACTTCGTGTACTCTGTTCAAATGGAAAAGCAAATGCAATTTTTCTCTAAATTTGTCCTTACTGTTGTCACATGCGGAATTTTTGCGACCATCGTGTACCGTATTTACAAATTTCTTCTCGCAATTATCGCATGCAAAATCTTTGTGGTTTCTGTGCTCTGATATTTGGTGTCTACTCAAATGACTTTTAAACTCAAATGTCTTCTTGCACTTGTCACATGAGTAATCTTTTCGTTCATTATGAATCGTGTCTCGGTGTGTTACCAACTTGATTCTAGAGTAAATGTCTCCTAACAAATATCACAAATTTATTTTTGGTCGTTCGAAACAACAATGTAGAGTTCATTTAAGTTATTAACCGAGAGAACTTCATCAGAACTGAATCAGTTTATTTATTCTCACGAAAACTGAATGAGTAAAATGTATCTTTTGGTACTATTATAGCTTGTTTCATCAAGAAAGACAACATTCAAACTAAATTATTTTTACTATAATTATGATCGCAGGGTGTCGAGAAGCGATGTCAAAATCGTTTATGATCGAATTGTTTACAATGAAGGTACCGATTGATCTGTTTATAAATTAATATACTTACGATATTTGAAACAATTAAAAAATTTGAACTTGTCGAAGATTCCTTCAATGAATTTTTTGATCAGATAAAAAATAAGTAGTTTCAAAAAAACTCTCGACAGATAACATCAAGTAATAGTATATTTTTCCCCTAGGAAGTGAAAAACTGGAAAGTCTCAGAGGACGTGGAATTGATTATGTTATCACGAGTTATTTTTCTTGGTTATGACGAGCTATTCAATTTCCTTATTGCTGCAAACATGTGCGCATTGCTTATTGAGTAAAGTTATACCCCCACGAACCGCTACAAATGATCGGTGCAGTTTTATGAGCTTCGTGAACTATCACTGAAATTATTCTCGCCTTTGGCTCGTGCTGCAACTCCTCGTTTTTTTAAAAAATCTTATGCTACTCGTTGAATAATATACTAATTTTATTCTTGTTAAAAAATTAACAAGAGGTAAAAAAATGTTGATTATTTTTGGGCACGTTCACTTGGCGATTGTACACTAAACTTCATGATGGCAGTAAGAATTTTTAAATTATTTTTTTATGTCTGGTGTTATTCAATATTTATATCATCCAAATAAATAAAATTTAAAAAAAAATTATTAATCGATTTGCTCAGATTTTAAATACTTTTTGTTGTTCAACCTACAAAATGATAAAGTGCTCCCAAAATAAACACACATTTTAATTTTTTTACGAACTTCCTTGTAAAAATTTTACTCAATTCTCTTTCACTTTTTACACTTATTCGCATTCGAAATAGGGTTATAATCGATCGAGGACTCCGAATTTTATAAAAGAAGCACCGTACAAGTTTAGGTCAATGTGTACTTAAGTTCGACACTGCTAGAAGGCGCTGACTTTAGGCGTCGCTCCCGCAAGTGGGAAAGCAGAGCACTTTGAGCCTCTGTAGATCCATGAGGGTTGGACCTAGGGAGCTGTGGTGATCAGGATTTTCATTTTTCATTGTGTTCTTGAAGAGTAAATGGTTAGTTTCAACTGCATTTTTTGGGCCAGCAACACCTGTTGTGGAATAGCCCATACCCATAAGTATAGTTTTTCTTTATGTTTCACGACAAGTTATATCATTTATTCATACGTTCGCTTTAAATTTGAATATTCTAATGAGACAGTATTTGCGAAATTCGCACCGTCGATTTTTTTAATCTCACTTTTTCTATTTAAAATAGAAAGAAATTATCGATAGGCAAGTGTTTACTATTCATTTGCTTCGTTCACAGCTCTGCTTGTGTACTGCATGAGATTATACGGAAAAACAGCACGTGTCGCGGGTAACACATTGTGTTGGAGAGGTCATGCATTCTATGCGCACGAAGTAAACAACACAGAACGACCAATACATCGATTTTCAGTGGTGCTCTTCGCCAGTTTTCCCGTGTTCGATAATTGTTGTAGAATGAATCAATATCGAAATTTCAATGGGATAAAAATGGAATCCAGTTCATTCGACTTTACTGTCAGGTATTTTTTAATTTACACTAGAAACAAATCTTACGGTTACGTCTAACCAAGTGTTGCAGCTATATCAACAAAAAAATTCCCCTGATACGGCAAAACAATTCAGCAAAGTATAGTTCGATAATTTTTCTGTGGCAGTCGAATATCTTTTGCTGGATTTACCCAATAGATGTTTTCAATTTACGAGAATGAAATAGTTAAAGTATTGTAATAAAATACTTGATCTAATTGGAGTTATTTATTTCAGAGTTAAAAAGGAGCCTAGGGACGTACTGCCTAATGAGAATGATTGGGATACGATTGACGAAAAACCAGATCTTAAAAACTTCCAACTCTTACCATCTTTGCAAGAAAATACCGTAAGTGCTATTAATTATATTGAGTCAAGTTGTATTGCAATTGTGTGCAACTCGTATTTAATTTTTATACAGATCCATACCCTTAAAAAGTGTGCCGAGAATGATGAACGTAAACTCGATGACGAAATGGAAATAATCGTTGAATGTAAAGATGTCAAGCTTAACATGGATTTATTCAAAGTCGAAAAATTTGACAACGATTCTCAAAATCTCTTGCAGGGTAGAAAGAATAATGATGGTTGTAAAACCCAAAAGGTAGTTAAAATGGAACTCAGGGAGGAAGTACAACAGGCATCTTTTGTGAACACCGCAGAAGAATCGAATTTGAATTTGGTCTGTAAACGTGGCGAACAAAATAAAACAAGAAAAATAACAAAAGAGTTGAACAACGAACGTAACCACAAAAGACACCGAGGTACCATGCATAATGCTAGAACTTACATGTGTGAAACATGCAGCAAAAATTTCGCATCTGAGGGCAATCTGAACAAGCATGTCATATCAGTACATAGTTATACTACCCACTCATGTGATACATGTGGCAAGAAATTTGCGCAAAAAGGTAATCTTAAAATTCACATCGATTCAGTGCACAATGGTGTCAAACATGTATGTGATATATGCCAAAAGACATTCGCAACGAAAGGTAATTATAAAACCCACATAGAATCGGTGCACAACAAAATCACGTATCCATGTGATATATGCCAAAATACATTCTCAGGCAAGAACAGTCTTAAAAAACACATTGATTCGATGCATAGTGGTATCACACATGCATGCGACATTTGCGGAAATGTGTTCAAACGAAAAGATGATCTCAAAAAACACATCGATTCGGTTCACAATCGAGTGCGGCATGCATGTGACATTTGTGGAAAAACATTCACACAAAAAAGTCATCTCAATACTCACATCGAGTCGGTGCATAAGAAAATTACGCATCCATGTGATGCATGCCAAAAGGCATTCTCAAATAAGAGTAATTTCAAAACTCACATCGATTCTGTGCATAATAAAATCACGAACACATGCAATATATGCCAAAAGACATTCTCAGATAAGAGTTATCTAAAAAAACACATCGATTCAATGCATAATGGTGGCGGACATGCATGCGATATTTGCGGAAACACATTCACACAAAGACAACAACTCAAAACCCATATGGATTCCGTGCATCATAAAATCACGCATCCATGTGATATATGCCAAAAGACATTCGCAGAAAAGGGTTATCTCAAAAAACATATTAATGCGATACATAATGGTGATTCACATGCATGTGATATTTGTGGAAAGGCATTCACTCTAAAAGGTCATCTTAAAACCCACATCGATTCGGTGCACAATCGAGTCGGACATGCATGCGATATATGCCAGAAGACATTCACACAAAAAGGTAATCTCAAATTTCACATCGATTCAGTTCATAGAAAAATTGCCCATGCGTGCGATACATGCGGCAAGACATTCGCCTCGAAGCAAACTCGCAAAAAGGACATAGATTCGGTACATGCCTTGCGCATTGAAACTCGATAAAAATATAAAATTCAACGAAATTTACGAAGATTAATTTAAAAATTTTCATTTGTAATGATACATCTTGAATTTCTCAACGTTATAACATTATGTAAGAACAATAAAATTAATAAACTTTTAGACGAAAATGAAGTACATTTTTAATTGCAAGCTAATAAAATATTCAAACTCCCTGAGTCGATGGCAATTTTTTCATCTTATTTTGATTTGAAATCAAATTAAGGGGACACACCAGTGTTAAAATCTGAAATGATTAATAAGTGTAAAATAATGCATCAATCAAGTTTCAACAAATATAGAAATTGTCAATGTTTTTTGCTTTATTTTGAATGCAAAAAAACACTCTGGACCCCTAGCATATCAATTTAACTATGAAGACCACTAAAACAAGTTTTAAGCTCTAATACATATAGTTACCGCAGGATTCTGAAGTGAATTTTTAACTAATTTTTATGGCTGACAGCTTAAAGTCTTGGTAAAAGTATTCTCCTCCAATTAAGTGTAACAGAATTTTGAAAAATGTCATTAGAACATTTATATGGCGATGAATGTACAAAAAATCCAAAAGTATAACAAAATACAAATACAAAATTTCATAAGGCATTTTTTAAAATCGGTGTCCCCTTAAGGAGGCTCTACACATATTACAAAAGATCATCCAACAAGATAAAACTTATATCAATCGATTTTTCAGATCTTCAAAATGAGATTCCAAAAAAAAAACATGTGGTTGACGATCAAACTTTCGAGATAAACAAGTTTAAAAATGGCATTTTTAACACGGGCTCTTATGGGAAGCGATTTTATATTGTTCATAACTAATTTAAAAGATCAACCATCTTAATAAAAAATATATTTACTGAAAGAGAAAGTTGTAAGCTTTCGATTGGTATGTTAAAAATTACCCCTTAACAAACTAACTAATGAGTAATTAAACAAAATCATTGATTTCGAATAGTGCGAGTGGTTGTCGGCCTAATGCGAGAAAGAGACAGACAGATGCCTCGCTGTACTATTGTTATGATTGGTGTAGAGTCTCCTTAAGTAAATCAACGAAGTATTATAGAAGCCGTTTTAAACTTCACTTTTAAGTTATTGAAGCAAAATAATTTTCTCGAGTCTAGCATTCGCACATAATAAATTAAATTTGAAAATTAGATCGATCTACATAGTGCGACAAATCAAATCGTATAACATAGAAACTGCGTAGACACTTGATTACGGTTGCCTATCAAAGCGCGAACGAGGTCGAGCGCTATAGGGATTCATTGGTATACATTTCTTCCATTATCCCTCTCTCCCCGTGTACGCGCAAGCGACTTGTATGCGATGCAAAAGGTGTAAATTTCATCGCGTTCAATGGCTCATAGTTTTTTCAGTCCGACTGCTGCTGTTCGCCGAGAATCACCGACATGGAGATAGCGGACAAAATCTGTCTGATAACCGGCGGATTGGGCGGGATCGGTACGGCGGTGATTGAGCGATTGCTACTGAAGCGCGCCAAAGTAAGACGAGTGTAAATCATCAATCCTATGTTTTGATATTTTTGTTGTTGATATTTTTTTTCTCTCTCGATAGTTCGTCGCGATACTAGATTTAGCCGGCGAGGCGAACGAGAAGAAGTTCGACGAGCTGCTGAGTCGACACGGATCGAAGGTCGGATTTTACAAGTGCGACGTTACGAATAAAGCTGAATTCATAGGTATCCTCTTCTCGTATGATATCAAGTAGCGATCAGTTTTTTAGTTACCTTGTTCAGAGAAAAAGTTGCTGGATTTCCAGATGGAAACTCTGTATTTGACTGGAAATCTCGATTTTAAATTATTCTGGCTAGATTTTTAGCTGGATGGAAGTTTCAAATAAAGAAAATTTTTACTTTTAATAAAACTCCAAGTGCACGCATTTACTCGCGGAATTTATGCTCGTAGTCTTTCAATCTTTTCTAATATTCATTTTCAAATCGAGCTAGATTTTCAGGTAAACAAAAAATCCAGTATAATAATTTAAAATTGAGCTGGATTTTTCACCTGGAATCCCAACTATCTCTTCTAAAGAGAAGTACACTGAGAAAAAAAATTCATTGATTCAATCAAAATTTAATTAAATACAATGTATAAAATAATTTCATTGAAATAATCTTTTTTTTCTTTAGTTTCATAAAATTTTGGTAAAATTAACTAAATATTTTGTTGGATGAAATAAAAAAAGATTATTTCAATGAAATTATTTCATACATTGTATTTGATTAAATTTTCATTGAATCAATGAATTTTTTTTCTCGGTATACAATGCATTCTTTCTAGACATCTTCGATCGAGTCCTCGGCGAATTCGGCGCCATCGACGTCCTCGTCAATAATGCCGGGGTGGCCAACGAGAACACACCCGACCTCGTCATGGATACGAATTACGTGAGTCGATACACGTTACCCTATACCGATTTTTATTTTACCCTATGACTTCTCGCTGACGCGCAGAAAGCGACCGTCAACGGCTGCCTCACGATGATCGACCGTATGGGCAAGCACCGGGGGGGGCCGTGGCGGCTGCTGCTGCGTCAACACGGCTTCGATCATGGGCCTGGTCAACGGCTTGCTGCCCATCTACTGCTCGACCAAGCACGCCGTGGTCAGTTTCACACGGACGATGGACGTACGTAAACATCTTCCTCCTTATATACTGAGAAAAAAATTTATTTAATTCAATATAATCTGATTTAATATTTTATTTACTATTAATTTAATCAAATGATTGATTGAAGCAATGAAACTTTGGTAAAAATAATTAAATATTTTGTTGGATGAAATAAAAAAAGATTATATCAATGAAATTATTTCATAGATTGTATTTAAATAAATATTTCATTGAATCAATGAATTTTTTTTCTCAGTGTACAAAATCAAATTTATAATAATAACAAACAAAAAAAAAATGTTATACACAATTCCGACGAGGCCGCAGGACCTTCAGTGCAAGAACACGGGCGTCCGCGTGATGGCCGTCTGTCCGGGCTTGACCGAGACCCCGATGATCGTCGACATAATGACCAAGAAGCTGTCCTACGTCGATTTGAGCCCGAACGTCGACGTCGCCAGGATGATTACCCAACCGTGAGTGCGATATTATTATAAAAGAAAACAACGTATTATACATCAACGGCAAAAATTCATTCATCGACTTTGCGATGCTGTGCAGGCCGGAGCACGTAGCCGAGGCATTCGTCGCGGTGATCGAGCGCGGCCGAAGCGGCGAGGTCTGGGTCTGCGAGGACAATCTGCCGCCTTACTCGGTCCAAGATTGTCCCGATTACAAGACGCTCAAGCGATCGGAATGAATACATCTCTGTACATGTTATATGAAAAATATGGAGTTATAAATATAATACTTACACTTTCGTTTTTATCTCATTCGATTAGCGTTTGATTTCTCCTCTCTTTTTCTTGACTTTTTCCGTCAAAACATGTGTACTACGCGTCATCGCGTCTCTCTACGCTTATCTCCTCTTTCTTATACTTACTCTCGCAGCATCTCTGCTTCTCAATTACTACCGTATCGAGATACGCATATATTACACGTACGCCGCGTCGTTCGAAAATCGCGCATCTCTTCAAAAAACCGCAGCAGCAGCAAACAGCAGCGAGCGACGGAAAGAGAGAGATATAGAGAGTATACGATCGTGTGGCGGTTATAATGAGAGAGAGAAAAGAAAGAGAGAAGAGATGTCTTCTTCTATATAGCCGATAGATAGACGCGCGGCGCGCGCGCGCTTGATACACATATTTTTTCGTTTGAGAGCGGCAAAGCAGTTTATAGCAGTACGCGTGTACGCGCGTTACATCAAATTTCAGTACGATACCGAGAGTCGCGAGGCGAACAAGACACGCACAAGAGGAGTAGCAGTAACATGATCATCAAGGATAAAGTAGCGATCGTGACCGGCGGCACGGGTGGCATCGGTTTCGCCACCGTCCAGGCCCTATTGAGACACGGCGCCAAGGTAAGTTGAAAAAAATAAACAACAGTAAATAATAATAACGATGAAAGAGGCGTGAAAATTTACGAGAAAAATTCAAAGTATGTAGCGATGCTAGACCTGGACAGTCGACACACGCACGCCTACGCCTGCGAGGCCGAGATCGAGGAGGAGTTCGGCAAGGACAAGGCCCATTACTACACGTGCGACGTCACGATACAGAGCGAGTTCGCAGGTACGTATCGCAATATTTCTCTATTTACGAATTCGAGAAAAAGAAAGTGTTTTCGATGCATAATTTTAATATGTATATGAATTAAAATTGTATCATTGTCGTGTGCAGCGAGATACGACGAGATAGTGGGCATGCAAAAAAACGTCGATATACTCGTGAATTACGCAAGCATAGCCAGCGAACCCCGAGCGCAACACATGATCGACATCAACTTGGTAAATAGTTATAAATTTTATTTTTTTTTTGTAATAATACTCCGCGTATTTAATATATACGAGACATTATACTTTTCGCGCTTCCATAATAAAGATAAGAGAAATTCTTTTTATTTTTTTTGTTAATCCCGTTATATTTACATATTTATCGTGTCAACTCACCTCTCTCCATTAATACAGACGGCGGTGATTAACTGTTCGCTCGTCGGCATCGATCGCATGGGCCATCATCACAAGGGTCACGGCGGGGCCATCGTCAACGTCGCCTCGATCTTCGGCCTGCGCACCTCGCCCGCCTTCCCGATCTTCGCCGCCACCAAGTGGGGCGTCGTGGGCTTCACCAAGTCGATGAGGGACCATCACGAGCATCTCGGGGTCCGGATAATGGCCATGTGTCCGGGCCTCACGGAGACGAGTTTGTTGCACCGTGACATCAAGGAGGAGACGCTGAACTTCATCCCCGAGGCGACGCTGAACGAGGCGTTCCAGTGCTCGACGTACATACAGCAGCCGGAGAACGTCGGAGCCGCCATCGTGAAGATGATCGAGGAAGGCGAGGCTGGAGCCGTGTGGGTCAGCGAGGACAACGAGCCACCTTACGCGGTTAAGGACCCGGAGAGCTACAAGGAGCGAGGAGTCCCGGTGTGAAATGATAGATATTTGAGAGACGATTTATTGAGATATTAAATTCTTTATTTTTATTTTGCTTTCCTTCCTCCTTCTTCTCTCTTAAAGAATCTCAAAGTGTCTTTTTTTTATGCTATCAAAAATTATGTGTGTACGTGTTTATCCATTATTTATTTATTATTATTATTAACCATGCGAGCATGTCAATCGTTTGTTTTTGTTTGTTTGTTTGTTTTTCATTTTTTACTAAGTAAAGAAGTTGGTTTACACGAGTGGATGCGAATGCCGTGTATTATACCAGTAATACACCTTTTACAAGAGATTTTTTTCGTCGTCGAATCGTAGATTGATTATTTTTTTTTTCTTTTTTTTTTCTTTACATATAAAGTTTTTTCAAGCTGCAATTGCATGATTCAACCTTCCGGACAAAAATCGTTTATTTTATACAAATAAAAAAAAATTACTTTAGTTATTGCAAGTTGTTTCGTAAAATTTCTTTCTCTCTCTCTCCTTTCTTCATCATCCACGTCACGAGAGACGGTTTTTCTTACTTATTACAAGTCGAAATACATTTTTTTTCCTCAATTACGTGCCTAGATACAATTAAAATATTGTGAATATTCAGCAATCACTTTTTTTAGTTATAAGATCGCCCACAATTATTTTATTATTATTATCATTATTCATTTTTTTTCAATAAAGTTAAATTAGCTATTGTTGGAGTATAAGCTTATCGCTACACAGCAGCGAAAATTTGTTTTTAAAAAAATTTCCCATTTCACTTTTTTACTTGATAAAATCTAGTTACAGTTATAACTTGTTTTTTTTTTTTGCCTTTTTTTCCATTTTTTCTTTTTGAAATGTCAGCAGTTTAAAAAGAGATGGCGTTTCTTTTAGTTTGAATCGATTTATTGATTTAGAAACCGCCGCCTGGCCGGCCGGACATTTCTTTCGCGCGCTTCGCGTTGTCCTTGATCACTTTAGTCTTCAAATGCTCTTTGTAATCGAGAATGTTGCCTTGCCACTTGGTGACGGTGCCATTTTCACATATCCAAATTTCTTCGGCGACCTTTGAGAAAAAAAAATCAAACAATGAATAATGACGAAAGAAAGATCGAGATGGTATAATATATTTACGAAAATAAATCCTTACCTGATTGATCAATCTGAAGTCGTGAGAAACGAGAACCATTCCACCTTCGAAGTCGTTGATGGCGTCGGCCAAGGCATCGATGGTCTCCATATCCAAGTGATTGGTAGGTTCGTCGAACAAGAGCAAATGTGGGCACTGCCAAGCTAGCCAAGCAAATACAACTCGACATCTCTGACCGTCCGACAATTGACGAATGGGGCAGACCTGCTGTCTGCCGGTCAATCCGTAACGACCGATGATTTTACGCATCTCCTCGCGTTCCTTGACCTCAGGGAAGGCTCTCAACATGTAGTCCAACGGAGACACGTCCAAATCGAGCAATTCGTGCAAGTGCTGGTGATACCTGCCGATACGAAGATGGCTGTTTTTTCTGATCATACCGCTCGAGGGTACCAACTGCAAACGAAATAAGTTGATTAGCTATTGAATATACAATTATTCATGAAATACATTGCTCTGAACTTATACTTACATCTCCGTACAAAAGTTTCAAAAGTGTACTTTTGCCAGCACCATTGGGCCCCACAAGAGCTAACCTAGTATCTAAATCAATACCGAACTCCAAATTCTTGTAAATCCAGGGTGCGTCGTCGCTGTAGCGGAAACTCACGTTCTGTACCATAATAACAGGTGGTGGGATTGTGCCGCACGACGGGAAGTAGAAGTTCAACGTTTTGTCGGTCGACACCTTTTCAGTCAGACCTTGGGCGACCATCTTGGCAAGGGTCTTTTCCTTGGATTGAGCTTGACGAGCGAGCTTAGCGGAACCGTGACCGAATCGCGCAATGTAGTTTTTCATATGAGCGATCTGATCCTGCTCCCAATTGTATTGCTTAGCCTGATTCTCCAATAATTCCATCCTTTATGAATATGAATAATAAGTTATTATAGGTTTTTCAATCTTAAATATTGAAAATTTGAAATTGTATTGAATTAATGCTTACCTAGTTTTGACGAAAGCGTCGTAGTTACCAGTATAATACTTCAAACATTTCTTATTCAGGTGAATTATGTTTGTACAAATTCCATTAAGGAAATCTTGTGAATGAGATATTATTACTAAAATTCTCTTATAAGTCTTCAATTCTTCTTCCAACCATACACAAGCATCAAGATCAAGATGGTTCGTGGGTTCATCGAGAAGAAGTAAATGTGGCTTTACATACAGAGCTCTGGCAAGAGCAATTCTCATTCTCCATCCTCCAGAGAAGTCTCTGGTTGGAGTCTGCTGCATTTTGGTAGTAAAGCCCAGACCATGAAGGATGTGAGCAGCTCTAGCTTCTGCAGTATCAGCAGACATGTCGTCTAATCTTTCATAGACATCCATGAGTTGCTCCTGGAGCAGTTGAAATAAAAGAATTTAATAAATTGCAATCTATTTTTTTCCCTTTAATAATTAATGAATTATTTCCTTACTTGAGCATCATCATCCGGACAATGAACTAACTCCTCAGCCATTTTTTCTAATCTAATTCTCTCCTCGTCTACCTCCATGACACACTTCAGGGCTGTCTTATCGCTAGCTGGAATCTCTCTGGTCAAATGAAAGATATCAATGGCTTCTGGAATAGGCACCTCGCGGTTTCCAAGAACTGAGAGAAGTGTGGATTTACCAGCGCCGTTGGCACCGAGAAGACCATAGCGACGACCACAATTCAACTCGAGCATAGTGTCCTGCATGAGCTCGCTGCCATGGAAGGTGACGGAGAAATTTGAAATTTTGATATCTCGACTACGTGGGTGAGAAGCCAGGGAGCCTGTGCACGCTCTGGCCTCCGCGCTCAAGCGCGCCTCAGCCTCCAGCTTGGCGCACAGTGCCTCTGTGAAAAAAAAGGAAAGAGATTGTACATTAGAAAGCATTCTATGCAGTTGTTGCAGTCATAAAACAAAGTGGAGCATGATACTGGTACAATCCAGATAAGAAAGTATCCAGCTATTTCACGGTTGATGATTTTAAGTATAAGATCAGAAGTGACAATCCCTATAAACGGCTTGACAATCTTGAAATAAAGCTCCATAATAGGTGTCACAGGGTCCAAAAATAAACCATTCCTCCAACACCCACACAGATACACGGGCAGACAGACAGACACATTCGCACGCACAAATATAATAACCCGTCTTGTCACGTCGTGTCACTCAAAGGAAATGCATTGCATGTCAAATCGAGGATGTGGGATCCCTTCGATCGTCATTTACCTTCTGCGCTGAGCGCGAGGGTACCGTTGCTGTCGCCGTTCTGCTTGGTCTCGGCGTTCTCGTTGTTCTTGTTGTTGGCGTCGTTGGACGACGTCGCGGGCTTCTTGCCGGACTGACGCGCCTTCGCTGCCTCCTTCTTCTTGGCCTGCTGCTTCTTCTTGGCGTCTGATGGCATTTTGCTGGCTGTCGTGGCAATGAAACAACACAAGAAAAAATTAATAACGACGAATCGATGGGATCGATGTGCGATCGATCGTACAGACACGACAACGCGAAAAGGGGTAAAATGTTCTCCCTAGATAAATGAAAAAAAAAAACGTCATTACGTAAGGATGAGCGAGCTATCAACCTATAACGGATCTACCGTGGAGCGAGATTTTCCTATCGCTGCTGTCGTCGTCGAGTCTCGCGCCTGCTACTACACTACAACGCACGAGTGTGTGCTGCACAGCCAAAGAGATCCGCGAAATTCATCTGCTCCGCGCGCGTGTCTTTCTAGGTTATATTCGCGCGCTCGCTCCGTTTCAATTTATGTATATCAGCACTGATTCTCGCCTGTGATCGAAGGTTTGGACTTTTAAACGAGTTTGGATAAACGTCATCGTCGACGAGGTCGACGAATTTCGCGATGTCAACCACCGAAGACACAGTTACGCGGCCCTTTTATTTGTTTTTCGCTCCGTTAACAATTACCTCGTTCGTCGTCTACACACCTATCACCGATACGATCCGAGAGACTTGGCGAAGAGCGAAAACGTCGTGCACGTGCAACGGGATAAACCTATATTATAAGTTATGACTCGAAAACGCACGAATCACGATTCGCGAATGAATATAATAGCAGTGGCAAATAACGCCACAGGACGCAGGATTCGGTCGATCGATCATCCATGGAGACGCTTACCTTGGTTACACTTTATTCAAGGAAAACCAACGGACGACAGACAGTTCTGAATGTTTAGCGGAAAAAAACTTTCTCGTGTATAGCTGGCTCTCTTCGATATGGCTTTTTCGGAGCACAGCACGGCGCACAGCACTATATATCGATGTGTGCGTGTATATACGAGTGTAGCAGCGGAGAGTCGAGACCAGCTCGCGAGTTACATATATATAAAACTGGCGTTCTGGCACTGGCAGAGGCTTATACACTCGCGCGCGCGTGTGCAATGCGAGAGGGAAAGAGAGAGAAACTCGGTTCTCTGTCTCTCTCTCTCGCTCTATCCGTTATTATATATAGGTAGGTATATATATATCTCATGCACACACGCTACATACACGCGAGCGCGCCAAAGAGCCTCTCTGTATAGTCTGTGTGTGCATGCGTGTAAATGTGTATGCGTGTGTGACAGTTGTTTCGTGTATGAGTGGGTTGCCTATATTAGCCTTCGGTGCTTTATATGAAATATCGAAAAGTGCACGAGCAGCAGCTGCTCCGCGGATCCGAATTTTTCTGCTCTATCGTGCGCTGCACTGCACAGTATAGGAACTAGCCAACGTGGCGCACTCGTGTGCATTATTATATATGCGTGGCGCGTGTGTGTAGATATAATTGCCACGAGTCATTTACTGCACTCGAGTGCGGTTAATTAAAAAAAATAAATTGTAATTTTTTTAAAATTTTCCGTGCACGTTTTTTTTTGCTTTTCAAAGCGGCGATATGACGACATTGTGTATACGATAAGCGAAAGGCTCGATGAAATAATAAATTGAAAAAGTTGTTTGTATATCATGACGATGACGATAGAGCAAGATGATCATCGTGAATTTCGCGCCTCTGTGCAAGAACGAGCGCAACATCAGCTGATTTCTGTACTGCGCTCGCACGATAATTCAGGGCAGCTCGCGCAAAATTATACCGATCCGAAAAATTGAAGTACAGTCGCAGCTTTAAAAAATCACCTATTGTCTTACGTAGCCAGCTGTATATACGAGCCGCGACGAATGCACGATCGACACATCAGCCCCCTGTATAAATTAGGGACTGTCTGCGCATGAATGCGTCATAATAGGCAGCAGCAGCAGCAGCAGCACTATCATCCTCTGTGCTGCTGCTGCGAGCACTGAAAACCTCCTGCCTGCTGCTGGCTTGGCAGCAGCATATACATACATAGATACATATAATGTACATGTGCCGTGCTTAGTGCAGTACAACGCAGGCAAGTTGTTCATGAGCTCGTCGTCGTCTCTCTTGTCTCTCTTTTGTCTATATATCTTCTATCTCTAAATTATACTGCCATTTGCCAATTTAGCTTATACTCTTGACAGGCGTCATTTGCAACTACTATACTACGCGCGCAGAAGATAATTGGCGTAGCGAAAAAGAAATAGAAAAAATAGAATTCGGTCTTCTACGCGCAGCTGGGTGGCCGATATCGTGTACTTTTCTTTTCTTTTTTTTTTTACATTTGTTGCTGCTGCTGCTGTGCAGTGTGTGCTATGTGCGCGCTATTGCTGCGGCCATTCGCCCCGTCGTGCTGCACTTGGTCGAGGACGTTGTCGCCGTCGTCGTCGACGAGATAAGTGCGCGTTCCCGATCTCGCCGTTTCTTTTTTCTCGCTTCTTTTCGTTTCTTTTCTTCGAAGCGAGATTAACAGAAGAAAAAGTGAAAACGGTTACGACAAGTGTTTACGTGTACGTATATATGTATTGAATGATCGTAGTCCATACTACTAAGAGCACGCGTTACGTCCACGAGAGAGCCTAGGAACGCGAGACTATAGGGACAGATATTTATTGTTTTGTTTTTTTTTCTCTCTCCTCTCCTCGTTGGTGCGTTGTTGGTGCGTGTGTTTGGCAGCGCACAGCTGCACGGGGACCTTTAAATCGCTTGTCATTCGTGCATCATAGACACAGTGCTATAGTGAATTTTTTTGTATACAACGACAGCAAAATGAGCCGAAAATCAATGGGTTGCGCCACGGCGAGATTGAAGCAGGATTACCTGCGACTCAAGAAGGATCCAGTTCCCTACGTCCAGGCCGAACCTGTACCGTCAAACATTCTGGAGTGGTACGTTCGATGATTGTATACTTTGAATACGAGTTGCTATACGCAGGCTTGTCCAGTTAGCCAAAGCTCACACATTTCCTCTCCTTACAGGCATTACGTCATAACGGGACCGGAGAACACTCCATACCAGGGTGGCTACTACCATGGAAAGCTGATCTTCCCCAGAGAGTTTCCCTTTCAACCACCGAGCATATACATGATCACACCCAATGGCAGATTCAAGACCAACACGAGACTGTGTCTTTCGATATCAGACTTTCATCCAGACACATGGAACCCAGCCTGGAACGTCTCTACCATACTCATCGGTTTACTCAGTTTTATGGTTAGTATCAAACTGCCTTCTTACATCTATCTTTGCTTTTTATGTTCAGCCTTGATCATTGTTTAGACATAACCTTTTGTTGTGCTCTTCATTAGCATAATTTTTATGCTTTCAGGATATGATGAAATGAAATTGTATTTCTTTGTGATATTATTTACAACTTCAATTTTCTTAATTTACTTTTTAAATTCTAAACTTATGCAGTAGTTAAAACTTATAATATATATAACAATATTAACTCTTGTAAGCTTGTCAAACTTAATTATTATATCCTTTACAGATTGAGAATGGTTCGGCACTTGGAGCAATTACTACATTAGAATATGAGAAAAAAGTATATGCAGCACAGAGTCTGGCATTTAATTTAAAAGACAAACTATTTTGTGAACTTTTTCCAGAAACTGTAACGGTAAGAGTCTAATATTTGAACTTATTTTAAAATTTATTTTTGAAAAACCATGCAAGACTTGATTTGAGTACGTAAATAAGATCATTTTTTCTTTGTCTTTATTTAATTATTCATTTATCATTTGTGTTCAACAATTTTAATTAGTGAAAATTATTTGAAACTAATTGCTTTATTTTATTTTATTACAGATAATTGAAACAGAATTGGAACGACGAAAAGAACTAGAAACAAAAGCGAAACTTCAAGCAGGGTCAAACAGAACTACAAATACAAATCAAGAAGATCAAATGGATCAAAGTCACTTACAGACAGTTATGTCAAATTTTCTTATAGTGATTGGTTTGGCTTTGTTTGCAATTGTTGTTAAGTATGTGCTAAGGAACATTAAAACACAAGAATATGTTGATCAATAAAAAATGATAAAATTATAAGTTGCCTGAGTTACCAAAAGCACTTGAGTTGCGGTCAGTCATAACACAAAGAAAATTTTATATGTAACATTAGGAACACATGAAATACACAACATCTGCCATTCTCATAACTATTTCTTTATAACTGCTTTAAACTGGTGCTTTTTTCATTTTTCTGAATCTTTTTTATAATATAATAGAAATTATAATCATTCTTAGATTTTAGATTTGGATTCTTGAGTAGACTAATTTTATAATTAAACTAAAAATTTGTATCGCACAGAGTTAAAACATTTTTGTATTGCCAGTTTTAGTATGACATCCATTAATTGTGCCAATAAGAAGAAAATTCGCTGACTTTTTACCAAGAACGAAATGAACTCATAGAAACTGTCTCATAAACAGTTACAGTAATTTCAATTTATTTTGAGATGATTTTTTTATAATATTAATTATTTCTTTGGAGCTACAAGTCTTACTGAACAGCTATGTTCTGAAAAATGTTAATCGGAATGTGTATAGTTTTTATTCTTAACACGAGTATCAATAACAACACGCAAAAAAAAACTCAAGATGTTTACAAAATGTAACATTACATTAATTTGTTGTATATTAAGCTTTTGTTTTCTGTTTGATCATTAAGTTTTCAATTATTTATAAATTTATTTCATTTTCTAATTTAGATTTTACATGTAAGAAAGTTTTGCCTTGGAATTAAAAGCATTAGAAAATTAACGATTACGAAATTTGCTATTGTGCATATGTTTAATGTCTCAGAACTCTGGAAATGTATAAATAAAATTATAAATCAATGTAAAAATGCATACGAACACTTACATATTTTTATGTACAGGTGCATTGGGTATGCAAACAAATATATTATTTAACAGAGTTCTATGAAGGCGCGCATGAAAAGTGAACTATAGCCAGTCAATTTATGTCCTTTCTTTGCTGAGAGCAAATGAAATGCTTTGAATAATTTTCATTGATTAGTTTCAATGTTACCTATTTAGTATGTTTCAAAGCCGAAAGATGTTATCTTTTTTAATTAAAAATTTCTCTGTTTAACAGTAACCTAGGTGTAAGAAAACAAATTGTAAATAATGATAAAAAAATTGATTAAATCGTGAAAAAAAAAGTAATCTGTAAAACTACGTGAATAAAATGTGATGATGAGAATCAATTTGATTAAAATAAATATTGCTTTATTATTATCGAGACCTGATCGAAACGCAGCTATCGAAAATGCGCATACATTTTTACGCGCTAATTGATTAGATGCAGTTTGTTAAACATAATTATATTATGATGTAATTTGACGGAAAATCTGATTAAAGAACTCTTCAAGAAGAGTAGACGGATATCATGGCCATTACGTATGACATTCCAGTTTTAACAACCTTAAAATAATTTTTGTTCTTTAAATTATCGTTCATGTTGGAGATAAAATTTATGGAAAAAACGCACAAATGAAACAGCTTGGTAATTTAAGATTATTCCAGGACCAGCTGTCCAACCACATGGTCTCTCCGTTCTAAGCATCATCATGAAAAAAAATAATCTTATTTTAGGCTTCCATAGGTACCATCCACTGGAATAGCTGTTGAAAAAATATTTACTCGTAGAAAGTTAAATTAAAATTGTCGTTAGAATTGATTCTCTACCAAGCGACGCGTATTTCGTCGCTTGAGTCGATGATCATTTGACTCGGCACGCAAATTATGAACAATATAATGACGACCGCCGAAAAACCCACGAACATCTGGATGGCGTTCAATAGCAGACCCTTTTTCACCTGAATCACCAGCTAGAAAAATTTTTCCTCTATTAAAAATCACAAGTCGTTCGTAACGATCGCAAAGATTACCATGAATCCGAGCGAAGTGAACGCGACGAGAATACACACCATGAGAGAGAATAAAATCGGACGGCAGAAGTGCTCAGAGATTTCGAATAATCTGCAATTTTATATATTTTCAAAAATTAAACATTGTCATGTAGATTTTTAGAGATACTTTACTCGAGGCTTTTTTTGTGAATCCTAATAGCCTTGATTATGTGGTTTTCCAGGCTCCCTATTGAATTGCTATCAAAATCCTCGATTATCTTGTTGATTAGATTACTGAAATTACAACAACAAAAAAACAGTTTTTCATTCGTTACTCGAATCCTCAATAATAAACTGAGAGCCAACTGATATATAAGATCATTTATTAATAACAATCTGTAAATTTCTGTATGTATTTATTAAAAATTTATTCATAAATTTACAGATTGTTATTAATAAATGATCTACATGTCGATGGGCGCTTAGACTACGAAGTTAATATTACGCTGTATGCTGAAATCTTAGAATCATGGCCGAACTGTAAAACACGTAGGAGAAAATCAACGAGCTTGTGATCGTCGCGATGACGACCATCATTATCGTTTCGATGAAAAATATCAACCCGAAATTTTCTTCCTCGTTTAAAAAAAAATAACACTGAGCGAGCGCGCGCTTGTTTCGATACAGGCCGTATTCCACAAAGAACGGGGCGTAAGCGAAACACGTGTAAAATACGAATGTCACACCTTATGGATAAAAAAAATTATTATTATATCGTCGAGTGTAATTATTTTGGATCGGTACGAGAGTAAATCGTATTTACAAAAAACTATCAAACCCAGGCGATGACTCGTACGAACCGTTTGCCGTATGATCTCTTTTTCAGCGGGATCCTCTTCTTCGAACCATTGAATGTAATTTATGTGTAAAACCTTACGCATCTAAAATAATGAGCATTAAATGCATTTATGATAATTATAATGGTTTTCGTTTTATTAGTTTTGAATTATCATTTAGTACTCTTTGGTGGAATATAAATCCAACTGAATGAGAGAATATAATGCAAAAGCCCACGTCCACCTGAAGTATCATTTCGGCCAGTGCTGTCGAATCGCCGCTGGATAAAACGTACAGTTCCTCGATCATGGATGCTATCTTCAAAATAAAAAAAAAATGAAAAATGCACTTGTCGTAAAAAATAAAAGTTCGGCTATTCAGGGCAAAATTCGTACGCGAAATTTTTCATTTTCGTATACAAAACTCCAAAAATCCTACAGATACTTTAGAAAAGTATAATTTTCGTACACAAAAACTTAAAAATCTCTAGGATTTCGTTTGCGAATTTTCCCTCGAATAAACAATGCAATTTTTCAATTTTTATAAAAAACTCGCGCGTTCTTACCGTTCCTAGAATTAAAATAGCTACCACGGATTGTATAAAAATTTGACCCGTTAGTCTTACTTTTGGATTTAAATAAGGCCACCAAAATATCACTTTCAAGACCATAAAAATTCCGTAGGCATTTTCCGAATAAAATTTTTTCACTTGTTCGGCGAATTCTGTATCCTCCATTTTCGGCAAAATAATTATTTCAAGATTGGGATTAAAATTGTGCTAGTGAATTTAACGCCACAATAGCGAACAACACAGTATTTGCCGTCTAAAAGTATTTTCACGTTTTCAAAAACATTTTATAATTCCGTCCAATGCATAATAAAATAATTGTGTTCTCGGACTGTTGCAAATTTTATGAATTTTTACAAAGCATACATGCATTACTAAACAGCTTTTATATTGAGTGCTTTATTTGCTTTGCCCAAGCCTTGTATCGATCAGTTCCTACATCGTGTATAATTAACTTTTCAAGTATCAAAACATCGCAATCCTATCTCTAATACAATAATTGAGTCGAAGGAGATTTATTGATAAACTAAGGTAATACATTTTTTCTAAATTTATTTTATTTACAACGTTTAAAAATTATTAAATAATAGCACACATACATTTTTAATTATAATTTCGTTACATTTTTGGTATTATTTATCGCCTCGCCAGCCAGAACGCAATTTCTCTTACTTTTCTTTCTTTATCAGGCCTTGAAATATTGTGGCTCTTTTTGCAGGTATTTAATTTTTTACTATTTTACAGGGTGTGGGGTTGGAAATCGACTCACTTTCCCTGCGCCTTTTTCTTTGATCGATTGGCTTCGATTCCAATTGATTTTCATTTGGCTTCTGGCATAAACGGAATAGATCCTCATCGCTCATGTATTCGGCAATTTTTAGGCAAGCGAGGTACGGGAGACTCAATTGGCAATGATCAGTCGTAAAAAGCTCGGCTACCAACCATTCCAAATGCGGCCGTATCAAAACGTTCGCCATGTGTCGTTTTACCATAATGTTCAAGTGCGAACACGAAATATCGTCCATTGCAGGCAAACGCCAATTTTTTATACCTTTTATTATCGAATAGCCCTTACTGTAGTTCATTTGAAACATTTGATACAGAGAAACATTTTCGGTTGGCATGATACTTTTTGTGCGCTCAACTTCGGCCGTCGAATCGTCAATAATTGCTTTATGACGAATAAATAAGTGGTAATTACACGGGTTTATAAATTTCAATTCCTTGCATTTTTGGTCCAAGAAATCGTTGGCTTCTTGTGTAATATAAAAGCCATATTTATGATGAATAAATCTTTTGTGCAAGGTGTTTATCGTGCCGATAAATGCATTATACGCTGAGAGAAAAATAAAGTATTATAAGAAATCATTTAATAGAAATAATTTTGTTGGTAAATAAAATTACTTACCAGAACGTTCGCCGATAAGATGATCTGTATCGTTTCCTCGAATTTTCATCCAATATTTCATCATCCTGAGTCTTGCTTGTAAACTTAAATTGTATCCAGCCGACTTCAACAAATGAGCCATCTCAATTATGTTGAGAGTTAGAGGATAATTTTTTAATTCCAGTGGTGTGAATGTCACGTTGAAAATTTTATTCTCGTTTAAAGTGTCGATCTTCGCTCCATACTTCAAAAATGTCCTCGTGAGCTCAAGGTCAAATCGACAGACCGACAGACCTAGTGGAATGTACCCGTGACAATTTTGAGCTTCGATGTCTGCTCCATGATCAATGAGCAATTGAACGAGTTTATCCACTGGTTTTCTCTTATCACAAAATCTATTGCTGTCTGTGCATTGGCATAAACACAGCCGAGCCAGGGCGTGAAGAGGCGTGGACTTCTCTGCGTCTCGCTGATTCGGATTGGCCCCATGTGTCAATAAAATTTCAACAACGTCAGCGTGTCTGTACTGGGCTGCTATATGAAGCGGCGGACACGTGTATGTGTCGAGATTGACATCCACGCCTTGACTCAAAAGTAAATTCACTGCTGCCAAGTTGCCAGACATACAAGCTCCGTGTAAATATGTATAGCCGAGATCGTCTTGATAGTTTCTTTTTGGATTCTCCAAGAAGTAATCGATGATCTTTAGGGTTAATACTTTTAAATTTCCTTTGTACGACAGGAGTTGATCGTTTCCTCTGTATATTACCTCAGCCAAATAATGCAGAGCAGACATTTCATCTTCGAATGTAACCTCGTGTATTTCTAAGTTGCCCGCCTCGAACAATTTTATCATTTCCAAATTCTGTTTCCTTAAAGCAAATTTGAAGAAATATTTTTTATCTCCGACACCGGGAAATAGCTCTTTACAGTTCATTAAATCTATCAACACTCTGTCCATTAAACGGGTTCCTATTAAAACACGCTGAAGTTCAAATTCCGAGACGAATAAGCGGCAAAATGCCTCGCGTCTAATTTCCACTTCTTTTATACTTATCAAAAGACTGTAATTTTCTCGTAGTTGAGTTGAGTACTCATCGTTATAATTCATCGACATTTTAAATTGATTTGTTCGTGAAATTAACTCCCGCGATTAAAAATTTTCGACACTGCCTTGACACTGAACAC